TTTTAGCCGGCTCACCTAGCGATGATGGATGCCTTAATGTTAGCCCATCTCCGTAACGTGATCACCGTTGATCGTGTCATTGATGCTGTGAGGTGTGTAACCTTTTTTCTGGTATTGGTACTGGAAAATTGCCCCATGCTCATGAAAAAAAGAACTGGGTACCAACTGTGTGACCTTGAGACATCATGCGCGATTGCAGTCCCTATGAAGCAGGATATGAAAATAGAACTGCATGTGCTAGGTGACCAATAGTGAAGAAAAAGCAAGAGTAATCTTCGAAAATATCCTGAAGAAGACCCTTTTCGAATATTTGGACGAGTTTGCTGTGCATGAACATTTCCGGACGTGCTGGCTTCATGCCAATAAATCGATAACTTTGTAGGAAAGCTCCTCTGTTTAGCTCATAATGCAGTTTGCTTGTTGCTATTTTCGTTCAGAATAGTAGATTGTTAGAACGAGTGCGGTCAGCAAAAACTGGCGTGATAGCAATTACGAAAAGCAGCTGAAATCGCCCTACGACAGTGCTGACCACAAAGGCGTAATAGTTGATCGCGCCGTGCAGACGTCCTCATGTGGGGCTCACTGGAAAACAAGCTTGGAGAAGAATAAGTTACAATGACACTATTACTTCGCACTTTCGAGCGATGCTGCAGGCAACACGCGCGGTGACTAGCAGGGTAAGTAGTTGCCTTGTGGCCTGAAAACATTCTAGTGGTTAAAGATCACCCGTCTCAAGCTGCTTTTTCTCGCATTTTCGAGCGACTAAAGTGATATTTTCGAATATCGGACCTGGCTTTAAGCACTCGAAAAGGTTTGACCGATCCATTAATCGCGGATGGTGTCTTTCAGCTGTTACCCTGTAGTCACAGGTGAACAGCTTTACATATGAGCAAAGCAGTGGCTTTTCTGCTTTCGCCCGAGTAGTAGTGCTGCTCTCTTGTTCCACCGGTCCATGCGCTTAGTATATGGCCTTTTGAAAATTTCCTTCATGGTGGAATAATGAGAAGTTTTTGTAGCCGTCATACGACCGTTGACGAGAGCGAGCGACCAATGGACTCAGTCGATGCGCTGCTCTTTTGGATAAACAAAGTTTGTCTACTTGTGAGAGACGACGTTGAAAGGGCACAAATCCAGCTGAAAGGTCGGTTAAGTGGTTTCAGTTTTTCTGTTGGAATGCGTTCCATGTCTTAATCAGATTTACGATCGAAGCTTCTTCTCTTCTAGGAGCTTCCGAAGGCGGAATGATACCCGAAATGGAAGACCTTTATGATGAAATCAGTGATGGGCAATGTCTTTGTACATTAGTTAGCATGGTATCGACCGCGAGAAATGGAAATTGAAGGTAGGTCTTATCTACAGCGTACTGGGGTCAAGCTTATACTAAGAAACTTATAACGACGGAGGACTGGAGGCAGATCATAAGAGAGTCGTTCTTTAGTTCCTTCCCATACTGCCTGAAGAGAAGTAGATCAGACAGGTGGAAGTAGTAGGGGTTACACTAAGGGTGCGTTCTTACATTGCAGCAGCTTTTTGAGTGTATGCCAGCATCCACCAAAGTCTCAGGCGACTAGGAAAGAAGTATAGATATTGATCTAGCGCTTTGAGCCACATCGGCGTTTTGACCGTTTTCGCGGACAGTTTTGAGCTTTTGGCGGGCTGTCGCTGAAAACGCTGGCGTATGCTAGTTACTATACTTTTCTAGTCGCTCGAAACGCTAAAAACGCAGGCGTATGCTCGAAAGGCTGACGCAAAGTATGAACGCAGCCTGACAAGAGTTAGACTGCGTTCATATCTTGTGTCAGTGTTTTGAGCATACACCGTGGTTCCCCAGTCTCTCTGAAACAACCATTTAAAACGCACCTTTACTTTCCTAGTCGCTTGGTAGATATCCATACTTTCCTATTCGCTCAAAACGCTAACGCAAAGTATAGACACACTCTTACCCTGATTTCACCTTTGAATGCAGTAGTACTTTTTCAAAATATACTTGATTGCAGATATTTGTTACAACGACCAGATGAGCACAGCACATTGCCACTATAATTTGCTTCTGTTACAGTGAGTATTTCAATTTTATTTTAAGAATTGTTAGATTTGCCTGTAGTGTGATTAACTATCATGTTATCGAATCCAAACAAAGAAGTAGATGTTTGGTAATGTTTCATGTATCTATGCTCATGTAACTATGCTGAAGTAGAGCGGATTGAAAAGAGTCAGTTAGTTTTTGCTCCGCTTCAAGGCACTGTATATGATCACTTGAAACCTCGCGTCGTTCCTGGCATGAACACAGTACGGTAACTTCAGTAGGCGAACAACCAGACACCGTACCCCCAAATGAGCCGTAAATAAATCTGGATGCACACCAAACACAGTATCTCACGACAACAGCGTCGAAATTGCTGGGGAACCTATGTGTTGCGATGCGAAGGAGATCCAAAGGATTAGAACGGTTGTATGGGATTAGAACGATTGCATGGAGTAGTGTTCGTAAGATCTATAGGCCCGTTGGATGCTCCAATACATCATTTTCTATTTGTAAATGTACTTGTATAATCGGGTTTCAATGGCACTCATCAAAAATAGTCCGCACTTGGGTCAGAATTTCTCATGAAATTGCAGTGGAGTCTTTACACATTACTGAGACATCTTCTTGAAGCATTTTCCAGATGAAAATGTCACGAGACTTCCCCGAAAATTGATGAAATTGGTAGAACAAAATAGTTTTGCATGTGTTCTCCTTCACAGGTCCAGCATTCATTCCGTGATAAATGCCCTGCTCCTTTCCATGTTCGAGTAGTGGCTTCGATACTCTATACACTACTCGAACTTGGAAAGGAGCAGGGCATTTATCATCAATATCCTTATATATGGTTCTGATGACAGTATAGCCTCCTTGTCGTGTGGTTACCACTGCCTGCTTGCTTCCTGTTGGTTTCCTGCGATACGAGGAATGATGACAAGCATAGTTTTTCTGAACGAAATAATACGAGTACGAGATCCATAGTCAGCCCTATTCACAGCTTCAAGAATAAGCTCGCAGTTGGAACCTGAACTAGGCATTCTAGGAGTGGTGCTGAAATGAGGAGAAAAAGTTGTGCATAGTGCAACAACATTCGTTCACTAATCTGGAAGGCGAAAAGTTTCCCATTTCCTTTTCCGTTCTGGGCGTAAAAGGTAGTTAGCTATCGACCTAGCGTTTTGAATCTTCTCAAGCTGAATGCTAGTGTTTTAAGCGAAAAGTATAATGTAGTTGTCGATCGATGCTAAAAACGCCAGGTCGATATCTATACTATTCCAAAATGTTGAAAAAATGCACGAGGCAATAGAAACTGCAACACATACGTGCGTTATACAGGCGATTTCAACGCTTTTTGTCGTGAGATCCTGTGTTTGGTGTGCACCCAGATTTATTTACGGCTCTTCGGGGACACGGTGTCTGGTTGTTGGCATACACAGTACGGTAACTTCAGTAGCGAACATCGTACCAGACCTGACGTATCCAGAATGAGCCGTAAATAAATCTGGATGCACACCAAACACAGTACCTCACGACAACAGCGTAGAAATCGCTTGGGGAAGTAGTTGTTGCGATGCTAAGGATATCCAAAGGATTAGAACTATTGCATGTGATTAGAACGATTGCATGGAGTAGTGGTCGTAAGAACTATAGGTCCGTTGGATGCTCTAATAAATCATTTTTCCTATTTATAAATGTACTTATACAATTGGGTTTCAACGGCACCCATCAAAAATAGTCCGCATCGGGTCAGAATCTCTCATAGCATCGCGGCGGAGTCTTTACACATTACTGAGGCATCTTGTTGAAGCATTTTCCAGATGGAAGTGTCACGACTTTCGCGAAATTGATTAAAATGGTACAACAAAATAGTTTTGCATGTTTTCTCCTTCACAGGTCACGCAGTGCCCTGCTTGGTGCTTGAATGCGTTATGATTAATGAAAAAATGAATGCATGCTGTGATTAATGCCCAGCTTCTTTCCATATTCAAGTAGTGGTTTCAATTAGCCAAAAGTATGGGGGAGACAGGACCCCTCCTTGAGGGATGCCGCTCCTTAGCGGCATCCCTCAAGGAGGGGTCCTGTCTCCCATACTTTTTAATATTTACTCGGCTGATCTTGGTTGTATAGGCATACAGAATGATGTTGTGTCCAAGCAGTACGCAGACGATCTTAAATTTTACAACCACCCCCCCCAAAAATCATAAACTCCTTACAGGATGCACACGCCCTCCAAGCTACTATAGATATGCTTGTTAAATGGTCCACTGACTGGCAAATCCCGCTTTCCGCGGCTAAATCTTTCCACATGCACTTAGGCCCTTCTTCGGTACATTCTACCTCTTACTTCATCGATGATGTGGAGATAACAAAGGTTAAGGAAGTAAAGGACTTAGGTTTTCTTTATAATGACAAACTTGACTTTTCTTCACATCACAGACATATTTATAAAAAGGCATTCCATCGTACCTATAATATATTCAAGGCCCTAGCGACCAATGACACCAAGGTACTTCTCCACGTATACAAAACTTATGTTCGACCGTTAGTGGAAAATGGTACTGTCATATTCTACCCTAATAAGAAAAAGGATATCGCTCTCGTTGAAAAGGTTCAAAACAATTTCACAAGGAAAATACTTATTCGTCGCGGAGGTTTCCTGTATGCTAAAATTCCGAAAGCTTCGGTAAGGAACGAATACTTCAAACTTCCAACCCTCCAGTCTCGACGCAACTTCTTTGATCTATGTGTGCTCCATAGGCTTCTTAGGAAGGAGTCTGCTGTCAACTGCTCTTCTTTCTACAACCTGCTTCCGTCTGTTACCAGGGGGCTCACCTAAAGCTATCGTTTCCTAGACCTAAAACCACTCTCAGACGAAACTTTTTCACTGTAAGAGCGGGACTTGCTTATTTGCGCCTCAACAAAACCGCTTCCATCCAAGGCTCTTTGGCATCATTAAGAAGGTCACTAGCTAAACAATTGCTTGCCTCATAGTTGTCGTTTGTTGTTTTTATTCGTTTCCCTTGGAGTTTTGTATTCTGTTTCCGGGTTTTATTTTTTCATGTTTTATTAACGTTGCCTTACAGAACGTACTGAATAAATAAATAAATAAATATTCTTAGACATGGTTCTGATAACAGTATAGCCTCCTTGTCTTGTGTTTATCAGTGCCTGCTTGCTTCCTGTTGGTTTCCTGCGATACGAGGAATGATGACATGCATAGTTTTTTTTTGAACAAAATGCAGTAGTAGGAGATAACCAAACTCAGGCTCTGTATCGCCACGAACTTTCCGCATGACCCTCTCCCTAATCCCCGCATCCAACTCTTCGAGGCGTGGGCGTAGCCCCAAACCCTGTGCTTGTATAACCAAGATAAACGGTGGGACTATTCGTCTCGTCCTGCAATCTCACAAAACGCGCTACTGGAAGCCGCCAAACAAGCCTCTATCAGACTTCAAAATATAAGGCCTGCGATATGAAAACGGCTCAACTATCGAGCCATCGAAGGCAGCGGTGCTGAAATGAGGAGAAAAACTTCTGCGTAGTGCAAACTTTTGTTCACTAGTCTGGAAGGCAAAAATTTTCTCATTCCGATGCAGTTGTGTTGTTTTCAAAATCTAAACAGATTTTTATTCAATCGAGAATCAAAACTCGAACTAGGGTGCGGTGAGCTGCGTTCATAATTCTCGTCCGCATTTAGCGTTTCGGGCGAAAGGAACGTTAGCTATCGACCTAGGGTTACTTATCAGCGGAATGCTAGCGTTTTGAGCAAAACTATAGTGTATATGTCGATGCCAGATCGATAGCCATGCTATTCTTCTCGCCCAAAACGTCCAA